GCTTCAATTCTTCATCAAATGAGGCCAATTACCAAATTCTTCTTGTGAAAATGACTGGTATTTGCATGGAAATGAAAGTTCATTTTCATGTAAGAATTTGCACTAGTGCCTCGCTTTGAAACTGAGGCTTATGGCAACCTGAAAATGGCCTTTAAAGAAGCAAGAGCTTTGGGTGCGTAGATGAATTCCAAAAACCTCTGAGTCAACCAAACAAACAAACATTATAAAATAAAGAAATTTGTTACGATGCAAGATACGACTGTAAATTTGTAATGGCAAGTGGAAAGACTGCAAACAACTGAAAAACCCGCAGAACGTTCTGCTTGAAACATGATCATGACATTATTTCAATCTGTTTCTTTCTCGTCTCCAGAGGCTGCGATCCTTTCGGTCAGCACCCAGTTTCACAGTCATGCGCAGGAGGCACGAATATACAGTTGGTTAGTTGGTGGGTACTGGCTTTGAAGACATGGCGAATGGTATTGAAAAGAAAACCACAGTGATCCCTTCTCCATACTCCGAGCTGTTAACAAACGCTCGGGCGCTTCAAGAAACCGAACACGGCTGTTTCTTTTCTCGGCTCGGTTTCCGGCCTTTTTATGTACCCGCGCTTCTTCGCTCCTTCTTGGTAGGATGCCATTTTCGTTAGGTAGGTACTTCATATATGATTATTATAGTGTACAGAGATATATTTCCCTTATCATGGTATACTTGCTTATGGCATTGCTTGAGTGTCTTGGCCTACTTGAGTTACTTGTCGTGCTTGAAGTACTTGGCTTACTTGTGTATCTTGGATTGCATGAGTGTCTACCTCAAGCACGCCAAGTAACTGAAGTAGGCCAAGACACTTAAGTAAGCCAAGACACTCAAGCAACCCAAGACACAAAAGTAAGCCAAGTACCTCAAGCACGCCAAGTAACTCAAGTAGACCAAGACACTCAAGCAATGCCATAAGCAAGTATACTATAAGGGAAATAAATATATCACCTACCCTTCGGGGTACGACGGTGGGCAGGTACTTCATATATGATTCCTATGGTGTACCGATATATAGGTCTTTCTTCTAGAAGTGCAGTACATATATGAAGTACCTACCCGAAGGTGGCGTTGCCCCGCTGACCAAAAATCCAGAAGACTCTGGGAACCAGATTGGATAGGATGCAAACCGGAATCTCTCGAACGGCGGAAATTGCACCTAGTCCTCTACACGTCCACCGCTATAACCTGCCGCTATCATTTTATCAGGAGTAGATGAATCGTTTATCCACCTCGGCTAATTTGAAATACACGTAAGTAAAATACACGTAAAGTAAAATACGTACCATTATTTACAAGAAATAACATAAAATACAAGAATTAAGAGCGGCTCCGCGTAAATATCAACTAGACGAGGACATAGTCAAAAATGACCTGGCCTCAAACTCAGCCAGAATAAAGCCCTATGGGCCCTAGTTACAAAATCGTTGGTTTTAAGAACGATCGAGTGAATAGTATTTTTTTAACGAATTTTTTTCTTCCCGAGGCCTAAAATGGGCAAAAATCATGCGAAATTAAAGTCATATTCAGTAACTCGTACATTTTAAAATAAAGTTGGCTTCTAAAATATAATGACACTTCGTATTTTTACTATCTTTCCTCTATAATTTTAACTGATTAGTTCGCGATTTGGTCAACAAGAGATTTTTAAAGAAATTTTCAAAGTTGTTGACTCAAAATCGCTTAACCAACGGTCAAAATTTAGCACTTTTTCACGAGCTAAAAAAGCGGATTGGTACATGGCTTTGAACACCAAGGCTTGTTTAGCCTGAAAGAGCATTCCTTTTTCTTCAAATTAGCGAAATAAAATTTTTGGGTAAATGAAATCACGAGCGCTGACAAAGCGAAGCAAATGTAAATGTTACACTAAAAACGGGCGAAAAAACGTGACCTCTGACCGAAGCACAACCAAATGCGAATTACGGTAGGTGTTATATACCGCTGGACTTATTGTATCGCACCTACAGTTATTGTTTTGTTGTAGTTGTAGTCTTAACCAATCATAATAAACCACGCTGGTTGACTTGTGATCCAACATGGCGGCGTGCATGTGGTGAATACATATCAGTAGGCGCCAAACCTTTAATTATTCGGTAACTTCTTGAAACAATATTGGTCCGAATGTGTATAGATTTTTTAAATAAAGCTGAGTTTAAGTATTAAGTGTCAAAAAGTCCACAAAGCGGTAAAAAATACAACAAAAGTCACGAGTGATCTGTTCCGTTTTCTGAATTTTATGCAGCGATTTATGCGGTTTAACGAATTAACAATTTTTAATCCAAGGATACCCACCTGAGACTGTGTTCGTTTAAGAGCGGATGTCTGTAAATATCGACCAGAGGTGCGAAAAATAAAATTTTTGAAAAATCCAGAAAAAATTATGTACACTCCCCTAGGTATTCTAGTAATGAAAATATAAATTTTAGTTTCATTGGATAAATATTTTGGCGATACGACGAATGTCAACTTCGGGCGATTGACGGCCTCCGCCAGACCGCTTTTTCGGGCCGCTAGACCTTGCTACGAAAAGACCACAATTTCAATCGAACTCAAATATCATTCAACCGAAAAAGCTTCTTATCGTATTGAAAGGGGTTTTATACACCTACTGAGTGGTCATGTTCTTGAATTGATCGCAACTAGAATATTTTATGTATTTTTAAACATTTACAAAATTTTAAGGCTTTTACGCAAGCAAAATATTGCCAGATTTCAAAGGCCCAAAATCACATCCGATACATGATTTCTAACAGAAAAAGACATTCCACGTTAAAAAGCAATCTCTAAGCTTTCAAAATATACTTTCGGATGTTACTAAAACGGGGAACGGGGAGCGGGGAGCGGGGAACGGGGAACGGAAGTCTGGGAACGAGTTGTCAGCGGAAACCTCCACAAAAATCCAAAATGGCGGTCCAAAAAACGAGAGAGAGAAAGAAGAAGACAAAGAAAGGAATTCGTGCCTTGGTTGAAATCAGGTGGGGACGAAATTGCAAATCAGACTCACATTTTACGTTTACGTTTTGAGCAGGTGGTATGTTTTTTCGATAATCAACCTGTTTCATTTACAATATGATAAGGTCTTAGGTCTTAGTTTTCGAGACACCTGGCACACTCACATTACTCCTGGATTACTCCGTTTACATTAGACCGTCGCTTAATCCTGCCTGTTTATCCCCCTGAATGTTCTTTTTCCCACTCAGACAAACTCTTGGAGAGTAAAGGTTTTATCCAAGCCCATTATATGCCCTGTTTTGAGAACGCTTGGTAAATAACTCGCAGGCATTGTAATGAGAAATAAACGTGAAATTTATTAATGCATGTACATATAGTGTTCTCGCATTCTGTGCTTGAGTCAAACTTTGTACAGCTATTAGTATTTAAAACTAACGGCTAAAACTTGTTTTTTACAATTTTTTTATAACTGGGAAAGCTTGTTGTTGTTGTTAGTGTTATATTAAAGTCATTGGGTGATGAGTTATGAATCGTTTAAGGTCAGGGTTTGGCATTGAAAGCAGGGTTAAGCACTGACTTCAAGTAGTTCATGAAATGGGGGTCGGTGTTTTGTCCACCACCTTCTTGAAGTCAGTGCTTAAAACTAAGACCTAAGACCTTATCATATTGTAAATGAAACAGGTTGAATATCGAAAAAACATAACACCTGCTCAAAACGTAAACGTAAAATGTGAGTCGGATTGCAATTTCGTCCCCACCTGATTTCAACCAAGGTACGAATTCCTTTCTTTGTTTTCCTCTTTCTCTCTCTCGTTTTTTGGACCGCCATTTTGGATTTTTGTGGAGGTTTCCGCTGACAACTCGTTCCCAGACTTCCGTTCCCCGTTCCCGGCTCCCCGCTCCCCCCTCCCCGCTCCCCGCTCCCCGTTCCTCGTTTTAGTAACATCCATATACTTTCAAAACTCTGGGCAACATATGAAATGAATTTTTGGGAACGCAAAATTCACAGAGCACTTGAGTGTAATTTGACCTTTCTTTTTCGACTGTCAAGAGGTTCGGCGCGACACAAATCAATCCTCCAACAAATGTTTCAGCCAAAATACGTTTAATTTAAGTAATCTCAAGTCCCGCAGTGATACATAGATGCCTCATATACATTAGGTGGAAAGTTTCATGCCATTTTGTCAACCGTAAAGAACTATTACTCTGGCCTTCAGGTGCAGTAGTTGAACTCGCCTCGCTAAAGTAAACATGAGGGTCAAGTTCTTATCACGAAGCAGCGAAGTTTTCGAAATCTACACCAACTATCTATCCTGTCTAGTATATAATCAGGTCTATAATTTGTTTGTTTGTACCTTGTGTCCTTGTTAGGCTTCAATCCCACAATGAAACTGAGACATGCAAACTACAACGAAATTCCCGCTCGCTCGAAACGTCACGTGTCACGTGAAAAGGCCGTTTGAGACCTGATTGCGTTACGTAAACATGACACATAGCGATTGTTGCTGAGTTGAGCAAAAAAAAAAATGAATTCCTAACTTACATGTTGTAGGTATGCTAGACAATCTCAATGCAGTTTTACGGATCTCAGGCTTGTGATCCCCGAGTTTTCAGTGATCCCCGAAGTCTCAGTGATCTTTTGGGTTCTCAGTCACGACTGATAAACCCCGCCCCCCCCCCCCTCCCCCACCCATACCCCAATCCTACTACCGTCTGATATTGTGCTTGCGACACCAATCTTTGATAGTGCACTCTCGGTCTAAGGTAGTACATGTCTACTCGCTACTGCACGACGAGTGGAACACCGCTGGCAGGCTAGGTACGTTTATTGCGCTATTGTAGTCACAATTCAAGTAAACATTATGATAAAAAAAAATACCTATTATCTCCAACGCTGAAAAGGAATGGGGTTCAAAAGCGTGGTTTGCAAGCTAGAGCTTTAAATGTATTACACTGTATATCTGCGTTTCTGGCTATTATTACTATTATTATTATTATTATTGTCTCTATTATCACAGTCTTTGCTGGTGTTCTTTTTGTACATCAGCCGGGCGCAAACCATGCACCTAGAGCGTCAGTCACTCAAGTCAATCATTCTGTTCATACACTGAGCACCTTTCTGAGGATTCGTGCACATCCCAGCATGCAGATCTTTTGAATCTCTGTCATATTAGCTCTTTCTGATACTTTCTTGATGTTTTCTACCATACCCTTCTTCACTGTACCAAGCGCACCAACAACCACAGGGATCACTACGGTTTTCATATGCCACATTCTCTGCATTTCTAGTTCTAGGTCTTTGTACTTGCATTTTTTTTCAGTTTCCTTCAGTGCGATGTTTCTATCTGATGGAACAGTCATATCAATAAGTTTGCAGGTGGAATTCACTGAATCTTTAACGATGATATCTGGTCTGTTCGCTGTTATAGTTCTATCAGTATTGACTGGCATGTCCCACATGATGGTGATGTTGTTATCTTTATTGTGTATCACGATCTCTGGTTCGTGTTCGTACCATTTGTCTGTAATCTCTATATCATGATCTTTACATATGCTCCAATGGAGATATGCTGCAGCATTATTGTGCCTGGAGATGTACTCTGTTTTGGCTAATACCTCACATCCAGATACAATATGGTCCACTGTCTCTTCATGTTGCGAACACAATCTGCATTTGCTCTCCACTTGCTGGCCACATATTACTTTCTGGTAGTTTCTGGTGTTTATTGCCTGGTCTTGAGCTGCAACAAGTAGTCCCTCTGTTTCTCCTTTCAAATTACTTGACAACCATTTGTTGGCGGTGACTGTGTCTACATGAGGCTTCTCTAGGATCTTTGGATACTGGCCATGCAATGCTTTGTTTTTCCACTTTTCTTCTTTCATTGACTTCATCCTGGACTTAAACACGTGTTTCATTATTATTATTATTATACTAGAAATACGTGTATCGCAGAACCTTGCGAAGCTCGGGGGGCGAAAAATGTCAGGGATGGAAGGGGAAGAGAATTGGAGTAAATGTACAGGTGTAATATAGTAAAAGAAAATGGGTGTGAGAGTGAATAACTGCAGGCGAATATGAGGCAAACATTTGCTATCTTTAATGTGTAAAAAGTATGTGATATTTGTCCTATTTGACCCCTATGTTTTCCTTTTTCCCCCACTACGGAGCCTGGTCCCTGGCTATGTCATTAAGGATGCAGATGAGGAAAACTATGAAAGTGATCATGACTCATGATTACTGAATATGCGGTACCCTCATTAGCACTGAATTATCACAGTAAAAAATACCAAATCATTTATGAAAGTGTTTATATAGTTATATTTGTGTACATGCATGAGAAACAAATACTCATGCAAGAGTGAATTTGTATGAAATGTCCACATAAGCTGATCAGTATCTCAATTCTCGATCAACATGCATGAGCTTGTTGAGACATGCTGGTTGACAGAGGCATAGTATTTCAAATTCCCAGACTGGCAGTGTACACTTTCCCTGACCAAATGAATTGACAATTTGTGCAAATATTAATGGATTCCAAATTCCAGCCAAAACTTCGTGTACTGGACACAGATGACGTAAAGCAAAAGACTTCTTTGTTTTCTGTTCAGGGAAAATCTGCTTGGTATGTTTTCATGGTTTGTTCTTTTGTTTTATATGTCATCTGTGCCTGTTACACAAAATAAATGCCCAAACTCCCATCACAGCCAACCTGTCCAGCTACTTAATACATGAATTCCTCGTGAATGTAAAGTGCAGAATGGATGGATCTCATAGGAAACCCTATACCTGCTTGTCATTTGATTTCTTGATACAATATTCTGCCAATGGAACATGTTTAACTTTGGTGAGTATGCACAAATATGTCACCTCCCTCTGGCTTGTTTGAAAGTCCCTGACTTATACTGAAACTCTCTGACTTGACTTACGGGGAATGATTAATTTTCCTAACGGTCAGTATAAAACACGGACTACGGAGTGCGGACCACGGACTGCGGACTGGGTATAAAATACGGACTAGGTATAAAATGCGGACTCCGGACTGAGTATAAAACACGGACTAGGTATAAAACGCGGACTACGGACTATGTATATAAAAACGACTTTAGAAAGGTAAACCCGAGAGAAGTGGAAAGAAGACTAGCAAAAACTGTAGTCCAGCTTTAACATTCCCTTAGCTGTTCACGTAGTCTATTCTTCCCACGGAGAAGGAAGGTCATGCCGGTACTCAAGGCAACTGAAATTAAACTCTGAATTTTATAAAAGGAGGGAGTTAGAAGAAATTTCAATTTGCAGTTTTAAACCAATAAGAAGCACCGAATTTAAAGAAAATAGTATTGGTGTAAGTCAGATCAGTAAATTTCTTATCGGATGTCACAATTCCGTTTCAAATAAAGCCTTGGGAATATGAGGACTGAATGAAGAACTCAGACGAGAAGGTCAATGTAGGGCATTCTGCGATGCACAAAAGCAGTATTTAGGGGGGACGGATTACTCACATACGTGAATAATAACCGAAATGAGTCATCCAACGTTATGTTCTAAGCGATGATTATGATGACATGATTTACACCCTGCTCCTGATCCCCGGAAGGTGGTACCACTGGGAATTCTTGGTGTGGGTGTGGTGCCCGGTTCTCCGAATCCTGACGTTATTACAGACCAAATAATGCCATTTTCCTCATCCGTTTTCAGACCTGGCCCGGGTTGCTCGAAGCATGGTTAGTGCTAACCGGCGTTAAATACCATGGAAACCTATACATTTTGATACCTCTTAACCAACGGTTAGCGCTAACCAGGCTTCGAGCAACCGGCCCCAGATCTCTAGAATCAATACCCATTTTCGGACCTGGCCTAATTTAGCCTGTTCCAGGCTCTCAGATAGTTGGGGAGACTCCCCAGTTTTCTCCCGTTTTATTTTCATGTTTTCGCTTTCTCAATTCAGCGGACCCAACTATCTCAGAGCCTGGAACAGTTTAGGTCTAATTAGGCAGAAATTATGTCATCATTACCAAGTTAGAGCGGAAACAAAAAAATTCTCCAAATGCATTTCGAATTCGCACATTTCTATTTCGTTCTTATTCATTTGGAATTGAAACGATAAATACGTCCATTATAATAATAATCATCTTTATTGAGGAAACTTTTTCATAAAAGATATGGTTTTCAAAAAGGACCTCAAAACTAGATATATATTATAAAAACAAAAAAAGCTATAAAATTGCAAAGGGATTAAAAAGATACAAAAAATGCATAAAAAATTAAAAATAAGTATAAGTAAAAATTAAACGTAAGTAGCTATATTAAAAACTTAAAAACATTACGTTTAAAACTATTTACATTCTTTGAGTCTTTGATCGTCTGACTGAGGGAGTTAAAATCGGAAACGGCATGATATTGTGTTCTTTGCTTCCCCCAATTTCTTTTGACACGTGGTAATCTAAAATTGCCTTTGTTACGTGTATTATGCCCATGAAGTACGTCTTGTCTAATCAAGTCCATATCGTGATTAATTAGGCCATTGATCATTTGTATACGTGTACACACCTTCTTTGAAATCGCCTTTTCTCTAGAGGCAGCCACTTGAAAACGGCTAATGCCTCAGTGGAGGATGGGTACAATGGTCTATTTAAAATAACTTTAGCGGCCTTATTTTGCAAAACTTGCAAACTAGACATAAGGGTAATATTATGTTTATCGCCCCATACTAGATCAGCATATTCAAAAAGGGGCATAACAAGACTTTTATAGAAAAGTAGACGCGCCCTGAAAGGCAATAAATGCTTTATACGCTTGAGAAGCCCAAGACTCTGATTGATTTTCCCAGTTAGGTGTTCAATATGATCAGTCCATGTGAAATCCGAAGATGTATGTATACCGAGGTATTTAAAGCTGCGAACATTACTTATACTATGATCTAAAATTGAAACAGTCAAATCTACTTTGCTTTCGCGTTTCCTATTACTACCGATAAGCATGCATTTAGTTTTGTCCAAATTTAAAGTCAGTTTGTGATCATGAAGCCATTTCGCCACACCCAGTAGATCGTTATTTAACTTATCACTCAACTCCTTTGAGGATGTACCATAGCAATAAATTACAGTGTCGTCAGCATAAAGTGACGCGTAGCAGGAGTTAAGCACATTTGGCAAGTTATTTATGTAAATCACAAACAACAGAGGCCCTAGAATGCTACCCTGTGGCACCCCATGCGTGACTGGAAGTTCCTCAGATAACTCATTTCCACATGATGTGCGCTGTTGTCTACCAGTTAAGTAAGAACGGAACCAGTGAAGAGCTGTTTCAGAAAGGCCGATATCGGATAGCTTGCATAACATTATTTGATGGTCTACCTTGTCAAATGCCTCGGTTAGATCGATGAACACGGCCCCGCAAAGTTTTCCTTGTTCCATGTTTAAGAGCACTTCATCAGCAAATGAGGTCAAAGCTGTTGTAGTTGAGAAACCCTTCCGGAAACCAAACTGCTTGTTGGACAATAATTTATTGGTAATCAAGTACTGATACAACTGCAAGTGTACCTCTCTCTCCAAAATCTTGCTTAGTGTAGGGAGGATTGAGTTGGGGCGGTAGTTGGAGACGTTGGTCCTGTCACCTGACTTAAACAATGCATGCACGCTCCCGTAGTTCCCACGAAAATCATACCCGATTCCACACCAAAACGGGCAAAAAAAAGTGTTTTCAGACCAAAAGGGCCAAGAACTCCTACCCTTCCATTATATAAGGAAGTACCACCCCATATCCTGACCCCTTTCATGATTATTAGAGACCGAGACAAGGTCTAAAAATGGGTGAAGAAAATAGCACTTTGACCCGGCTCATGATTCAGAGAACCGAGCGGCACACCTCCACCAAGACTAATTAATAGGAGTATTTACAACTTTAACTCACGTGTCTTGCTATTTAGCGATCTTTTGATCTTATTTGTCCATACCTAGAACCAGTTAGCACCGTTTTTACCAAAGTAGTGCGTAGTCTGTATTTTATACCCAGTCCACAGCCCGCCGTCCGCGTTTTATACCTGGTCCGTGTTTTATACCCAGTCCGTGTTTTCCAGTCCGCGTTTTATACCTAGTCCATATTTTATACCCAGTCCGCAGTCCGTAGTCCGCAGTCCGCAGTCCATGTTTTATACTGACCAATTTTCCTGACATGTCACACACCAATATTGTGAGGAGATCCGAAATGGAGATGTTCTTTAATTTCAAATATTAAACAGGATCGAAAATAGGAGGCCAGCAATAATAAATTTTTGTTATGCCTGACTTAAAAGACACAGTTGTGTTTATGTATAAGGCTGCTATACAATGATAATATATTTTACTTGGGATGGTTTTGGGGAAGTAAATGTAATGAAAATTGTAAACGAAAATGTTGTTCAGCAAGGATTTTGTTTACAAACGTAACGCCTCCCTAAACATGTCACACATTATTGTTGTTCTAAACTGATCCTTGTAAAATGAAGCTTACTGTATAACCCATTGTTGCTCATGGTGTAAAGGCCGATCGGCTGTCCCGAGTCTTTGGAAAGATATTCTTGAAGTGCAGAATTCTTGCTCCCTATCGCTGCATCGAAGAAGATAATTTTGACTGTAAACTTTCCTGATCCAGTCTCGTCGCTTTTGTAAGCGTCGGCAGTCGGTGTTCCCTCTCTTCATCGGATTCCTTTACAATGTAATTGTAGTATTTTGTCGCTGCCTCTGTCGTTTGTGGTCGCTGTGTTGACGACGTTGCCTTCGCTGTGCTAAAGCGATGTTCTCTGCTTCGCGGTTGTCTTCTTCGATCCCCTCGCCGATAAATTTTAATCGGCGTTCTCTCGAGAAGTTTCAATGGAAAATCTTTCTCGGCGAGGATTTGTAGGCACTTGCTCAATGCTGTGCTTGCAGTTCTGTGTCATTTGGATTCGCCTACGAATAGAGTCGATTCGCCTACGTCTTGTATGTCAGTTCGCCTACGAGTCAGATGTTGAAGCTTTAAATCTGAATTATTAAAAGTCCTTGTTCCTTGTATTATTCCTTCCATTCTATCCTCGATGGCTAGAAGAACAACGCGCTAAAACATCTAAGTTCGAATGTTTTTAAAAACTTTATTATGGCGGAACCCAGTCTTCTACGAATAGAATGTGTGAAAGATATTTTTGCTTAAAATGATTTAATAAACGTGTGATTGTAAAACTGAGCATTAAGATTTGTATTAAAATGAAATAAACCACCGTTTACGGTCTTTTACGGTCTTTGGACACCGTACACAAATGAACTTAATATCCTTTAGTTAATTATTATTTGTAGCTACTTTATTTTCCTACTATGTACGCTTTTGTAAATATCTTGTATAGTGTGAATAAAGAATTGAATTGTGGTCGTGCAAAGCGCGAGCAGAGCAGTAAACAAACCACTGTTTACGGTCTTTGTGTAGACTTGTGAAGCGCGAGCGGCGCCTAAATTAAACTAAAGAAGGTGAGACTTTTCATTAACATATACGAAATTAGCTTCGGCTTCACTTGACAGTCGGTTCAATTTCTACGTTGATTTGGCGACTTGTTGAATCTTTTAACTCTATAAACTAGTTTATGTATGTAATGTGTCCGGGTATTCTGGGTTACTCCGTTTGCGTACTTTCATCTAACAGACAAATAATATAAAAACTTAAAGCGTCCTTTGTGTAGACTTGTGACTTGAGCGGCGCTCATACTAAGGGAGGTGAGAGTTTTCATTAGCATACATAGTACTTACCACAAAATTAGCTTGTTCACACTACACAGCTTGATGTAACTTTTTATTTCGATGTTGCGCAGCGGCTTGTTAAATCGGTAATCATAGTCATATACTTCGGACTGAGTAAGATAAATAAACGTTCGTGTTCACGTTTGGACTTGGTTCAAATAACCAAGGTTTAGATTTAAGTAACAACCTAGTAAAGAAGGTGGGACTTTTCCCATTAACACAATCAATTCCAAAGGACATTGTTTAACATAGATCAATTGGCAAAGGATCACAAAATAATATTAGCATTCACCAATCACAACGCTGCGATTTCGATCCATCGGAGAAGGCATTGACAGTATAAAAGCCCTGGTATTTTATTCTCATGTCACCAGTTCGTTAGAACAACACTATTCGAAAAGTTAATCGACGCTAATAATCATCGATATCATGGAGGAATTTTACTGTATCTTTTGTGCTGAAATCGTAACCTTCCGCCAAGAGGCCCTACTCTGCGGCGGATGCGACAGATGGAAACACCATCGTTGTTACACTGGCGTTGACCGAGCCACATATCGACAGGCAGTAAGGACCGGCCACGACATTTTATGGACTTGCATCTATTGTACAGACGAGACACCAGTACCGGTTGCTGCTAGTTCGATGATCAATACAGGTATATAATTGAATCTTCCATCGAAGAGCCTCTCATCGGAGACGACATGGCGTCCGAGAACCCAAACAATCATGTAACATTCCAGCTAGTAGAAGAAGGGAGTAAGCGTCGCAAAACGAAACTAGTGGACAGCTTGGGATACAGCTACAACGTCAGATCCAAACGGTCTTACGCAACTTATTGGCAATGCACGGTTCGTCCTCGAGGAAATGCTTGCAAGGTTACGGTAATCCAACGGGACGGAACTTTTTAAGCGGGGACCAACGCCCATAACCATTCTTCAGAACCAGGGGCAGTGACAGCAGCCAAAATCGTGAAGTTGGTAAAAGAGAAGGCTCTGGAGGATAAGTTCAAGCCGGCCTCAGCAATAGTGGAAGAGGTATTTAAATTGCACCTTACGGACTTACAAGTGAACTGAGCTAATGGGAAATTTTCGAATCCGAAGTTTTCTAATTCCTAATTTTCTCTGTCGTAAATGTTTGACAATTCAAAACATTCTACAAACTTTTCAAAGACTTTTCATTTTTGAGAAAAATAACTGAAAGACGGTCAACTTGATAATTGTTAAGCAACGTTTTTTATTTTCCTTCTTTTTTTTTTCAGGTCTTGTTGAATGAACTGAACGCGGGTTGTCCAGCACTCTCTAAGCCGGAGCATATGGCTCGAGCTGCGAACCGTTTACGGCAGAGACTTCGCCCGGAGGATCCAAAGGACCTCGACTTCGAAATAATGGAAGACTGCATTCCGCAAGGGTTCTTCCAGGCAGAAGTTTACGTCAAGGAAAGAAGGCAACTCATCTTCGCTACAGACGAACAACTTACGATCCTCGCAAAAGCCAAGTCTTGGTATCTTGATGGTACTTTCAAACTTGTGCGCAAACCTTTCCAGCAGCTGGTAACGATTAATGCCTTCGTTCGCCCTGGCGATCACGCAAAACAAGTACCACTGGTGTGTTCGTCTTCATGTCCGGGAAGAGTACGAAAGACTACAGTGTAAGCATAGTGTAATAAAATTTCTGGTATGCATAACATCATTTCTTTTTCTCTTCACAAAATTAGGTAATGAAGAAAATAATCCGCATCCTGCCAATTCAGCCCAGTGTCCAGCAGGTAACCCTAGACTTTGAAAGGGCCGTCTGGAAGGCGCTTAGATCCGCGCGAGGGGAACACGTGAAGGGGAGAGGAGGCCTCCCCTCCTTTTCTCTCCTCATGCGTCTTTTTTCTTTTTCTTTTTTCTTTTTTCGCCCCTCCTCCCCCCCCCCCAAACAAAACAAAACAATGATTGGCCCTACTCTGGAACGTTTCTGCGTGGAGACTGGCGGGGACGGGCCATACACTGATTCTTCTATAATGAGTTCGAAGATGCGCAAGAGCAGGCATCTACGAAAGTTCAATGGCATGATGCAGAACTGACTGTTAAGTGGCACTTAACAGATCGGTTGCTCTCTCCTATGCGCACGTACTGTGTGCTCGGTTATTTATTACTTGAACCACACTGATCACCTACCCAACGCTCAATTATTGCACGCTGTATCGCCGCACAAAAGCAAGCAGAATTGTACTAGCTGGCAATGATACTCATTTATTTTCAGAACTAGAGTAAACGTAGTAAAACAAGACGGTCCAAAAATCTATAAATATCGACGCCACAAGCGCTAGTTAAGACCGTGGTAGGACGCCCTTACTTGTGCTTTATACTGGCTTTATACAGCATATTGCAATACAATTGCACAATGCATTAGGATATTTCCAAACTGACAGAAACCAGGACAAACTGAGGAAGGGGGAGAAGTGTCGAACCACTACCAACAACCAAAAAGAACAACGCAAACAATAATGTTTGACCCTAGGCCCAGCCCAAGGAGGGGGTTGGAGGGGGGAGGGGAGAGTTGAAGTTACCGAGATAGGGATAGGAAACTTTGGAAAATATAAATATTTGTAGACATTTTTGGTTATAGCTTGATTTAAGTAAGAATTTCAAAGGGTATTCAAAACATTCTGACTGGTGTAGTACCGCACGCGTACAATGCTGGCGAACAGTTCAGACTGTCAGATGAGAAAAAGTAAAATTCAGCAGATGGTACCATGAATAAACCAACCACAAACATTTACTTTTCATTTTTTGGCGTGCCATATCATTTAAATTTCAGGGCTTGGAGAAATTAGGGCTTGAAAATTTGGGGGGTTAATTTCCGTCCTAAGATATTTTTGGTTTCGTCGGGAATCCGACAAGTCTGGTAAAACTGCATGGTAAAAAGAAAACCAGATTGCCGGTTCATTTAATGGCTACAACATGTAAGTTAGAAATGGATAGATTGGTGTCGCAAGCACAATATCAGACCGTAGTAGGATTTTCTACATGTAATTAGGGGCCGACCATTTGACTTTAAGCGGGGTATGGGTGGGGGGGTATCAGTCGTGACTGAGAACCCAAAAAGGGGAGATCACTGAGACTTCGGGGATCACAAGCCTGACATCGGTAAAACTGCATTGAGATTGTCTAGCATACCTACAACATGTAAGTTAGAAATGCATTTTTTTTTTTTGAACAACTCTAAAACGGCCTTTTCACGTGACGCGTGACATGTCGAGCGAGCGGGAATTTCGTTGTAGTTTGCATGTCTCAGTTTCATTGTGGGAATGAAGTCAAACAAGGATACAAGGTACAAACAAACAAATTATAGACCTGATTATGTGCTAGACACGATAGGTAGTCGGTGTAGATTTTGAAAACTTCGCTGTTTCGTGATAAGAACTTGACCCTCATGTTTACTTTAGCGAGACGAGTTCAACTACTGCAGGCCTGAGTAACAGTTCTTTACGGCTGACAAAATGGCATGAAACTTTCCACCTAATGTATAAGAAGCATCTATGTATCACTGTGGGACTTGAGATTACTTAAATTAAACGTATTTTGGATGAAACATTTGTTGGAGGATTGATTTGTGTCGCCCGGAACATCTTGACTGTCGAAAAAGAAAGGTCAAATTACACTCAAGGGCGGCGTTCCCAAAAATTCATTTCATATGTTGCCCAGAGTTTTGAAAGCATATTTTGAAAGCTTAGAGATTGCTTTTTAACGTGGAATGTCTTTTTCTGTTAGAAATCATGTATCGGATTTGATTTTGGGCCTTTGAAATCTGACAATATTTTGCTTGCGTTAAAGCCTTAAAATTTTGTAAATATTTAAAAATCCATAAAATATTCCAGTTGCAATCAATTCAATAACATGACCACTCAGTATGTGTATGAAACCCCGTTTAATACGATAAGAAGCTTTTTGGGTTGAATGATATTTGAATTCGATTGAAATCGTGGTCTTTTCGTAGCCCGGTCTAGCGGCCCGAAAAAGCGGTCTGGCGGAGGCCGTCAATCGCCCGAAGTTGACATTTGTCTTATCGCCAAAATATTTATCCAAGCAATGAAACTAAAATTTATATTTTCATTACTAGAATACCTAGGGGAGTGTACATTATTTTTTGGGGGATTTTTCAAAAATTTTATTTTTCCCGCCTCTGGTCGATATTTACAGACATCCGCTCTTAAGAGTCCATAGAACTTCTCAGAAGATTCCTCGGAAAGACCTCCAGAAGGAAATGAATGAAGAATTTCCCGACAAAACGAAAACAACTGTCGAACTGCCACAGGCAAACCAGATTTCAGTGCAGTCATGCAAAGCATGTCACGTCACGTAATTCTGCCTCGCGCATTTTGGAAGGAGGGAAGAAATTCTTTCACGCTGTGCCTTAAAACATTTATAAAATAGAACTAGCTTTGGACTGTATCTTTTGTAACTAGTTAAAGAAAAGAATAACTTTCCCTCCTGTTTTTGGTCGAGAGGCGCTGTGGACTTCTTTTATTTTATTTGCTGTTTATAATGATTGTGTTTCAAGTTCAGAACGTGCATCTATTGCTAGCAATTGGTTTGTTCGAATTACCGAATGCTGTAGAAAGGATATCAAAGGGCACCAAAGCGGTGGCGTCCGGACCCCCTCCATCAGACCTGATACTTGTTACAACGATAGGGTTGTATATCACTGTTTAACTGGCTGTTTTTAATGAAACGCGTGTTGTATTTTGCCACTAAACTAAATTCCAGGGATATTCAATAAAGTGTTGACAGGCTAAACGCGACTAAAACGTGACCCTACAGGTTTTCCTTCTTTTCTTTCCTACGTTAGGGCTATGAACTGCATGGAGTATTCTAAAATTGGATTAAATCTTATTTTTGCCGCTCAGAATCTAACATTTATTGGAGGTTAGAAAATTTTTCCAGTGTTTCATGCAGATCAAGTAATTATCAGATTACCTTGCTGTCAAGGTCAACTTTCCAGAATTTGGAAAGTACCATGTGATTGGCTAAGCATGGGAAAGGAATGTTGTGTTCGGTTGAGCAGGCGTTTGTGGGGTGGGATGAAAAACGAGCTCCCCTAAAAACTCCTGCGTGGGAGGCTACCAGTACCCATGCTAGCATTGAAAATAGTGTCGTTTGTATTGAGTACGTGCAATAGAAATACATATTTTCAAACAATACTAAGTGTGCGTCAGTATTTGTTTCTGAAAAAAAGAGACCAGTTCACGGTAATTGAACAGACACGATGTCTTGGTACTGTATTCTTGTGTAGTAAATTTAAGTTAGAGAATACAGTATTTCCTCTGGAGTAATTTTCTGCGGGAAAAATTTTTGCGCTAATTTTTATTTGCGGGAACTTATTTTTGCAAAGTACTGACAGTCATGAAATCCTATCAATAAAATTCAGGCGTGAGTGAAATAGTGAAAATGACAAGAAGACAGAGGGGAAAAAATAATAACAGATCAGTCCATTGGGTTTAAAATTGTTTAGCATGACATTTTATGTAAGCAAACAGGAATGACATATTTGTTCTGGAGCGATGAAGTTTTTTGAAAGCACGTGTCATAGCAAAAATTTGCCAAAACTTTAACTGAGAGCCATTGCTAGATTTTGTGGTATTTTTTCTCGTTCCTCTGTTTGGTTACATGAGCCGTGATGTCAGCTTTTTAAGCTAACATAACCATGTTTAGGCTGTCGTGGACATGTCTCATATTCAGTATCTCAGTCGTGACAGATGAAACCTTTATTATACTTGGGTTCAAATGTTATTACGGATGGACCTTTATTACACTTGGGTCCAATTGACAAATTACTGTTCCCCCACACCCCCTCCCACTAGTCCCTGAGAAGGTAGAGACGACTACGTTTTTCTCAATCTGTGAAAGCCAGTTGCCGTTGGCGCGGGAAATACTGCTTTGCGAGCAGATGAGAACAGATTACTAAGGGTGCCCAAAGACAATCACATCTTTGAATATCCCTGGAATTTAGTTTAGTGGCAAAATACAACACGCGTTTCATTAAAAAATTCAGCCAGTTAAACAGTGATATACAATCCTATCATTGTAACAAGTATCAGGTCTGATGAAGGGGGTTCGGACGCCACCGCTTTGGTGCCCTTTGATATCCTTCTACAGCATTCGGTAATTCGAGCACAGCAATTGCTAGCAATGGATGCACGTTCTGAACTTGAAACACAATCATTATGTACAGCAGATAAAATAAAAGAAGTCCACAGCGCCCCTCGACCAAAAACAGGGGGAAATGTTATTCTTTTCTTTAACTAGTTACAAAAGATACAGTCCAAAGCTAGTTTTATTTTATAAATGTTATTTGGCTCACAGCGTGGAAGTTTTTCTTCCCTCCTTCCCAAATGCGCGAGGCAGAATTACGTGGCGTGACATGCTTTGCATGACTGCACTGAAAGCTGGTTTGCCTGTGGCCGTTCCACAGTTGTTTTCGTTTTGCCGTGAAATTGTTTAAGTTATAAGTTCAAATTCTTCATTCATTTCCTTCTGGAGGTCTTTCCGAGGAATCTTCTGAGAAG